TTTTTTTTTTTTTTAGTTTATTTATTAAAACTAATTTCTGAATTTATTTTGTGCTGAAATATTTTTTACTTATACCACAGCTGTTGGATGCTTGATTTTGATTGTTGATAGACTAAATGCACAGGTATGAAGTAGTGATAGGTTTTGACCAGATTGCAGTTTAATATCACTTTACTTCAAAAGTTTTTTTTAGAAAAATCAGAAAACTCCAACAGTCGTTTTCTGGCAAAAGCAGATAACTCCAAATTTCATGCTTCAGAGTTATATATGAAAAACAAATAAACCTGTTGTCAGTGCTGGCCTTCTAGGTGAAATAGGTGACAAAGTCACATGTCATTTGATTGGTTGTGGTTTTGCTATTAGAGACGCTGCATGCTACCCAACACTGCTGAGAGCTGCACAGACGCAGGTAATTCACAGATTAATCTCTCTCTCTCTCTCTCTCTCTCTCTCTCTCTCGCGCTAAGCTAAACTGGCTATTCTAAAGTCCCATCAGTGTAAAATTTGGTGATGATGTTTAAATCTTTGGTAAAATCCCGAATAGTTACTGAGTACACATATTATTAGCATACAAAAAAAATTCGATTTTATTTGAAATTATATGGGGTGTTAAAAAAGCAATTGTTACTGTGAATGAAGCTGATCTTGTTTTGCATTGGTGATTATTGTTATTATAATCGTTGTTGGTTTTTTTTTTCAAATTAATATGTTTTTATATGAAGGAAAGAAAAATGAAAATGTTTTTAATATAATGTTTTAATCTTTCTCTCTCTCTCTGTTTGCGCATGTGCGAGTGAGTGGGAGGAGCGTTGAGTGCGGAGTGTGTGAGCAGGAGTGTGAGGTGCGAGTTTATTCTTTCTTTCCTTCTTTTTTTCTTTATATATATTTTTTTTTTTGTTTTGTTTTTGTAATTAGTGGTTTTTAAACTGGGAGCATGGCGTTTCCAGGGAAGGAGAGCTTTAGCCACTTAACTAGACGGCATGCGGTCAAAATTGATTCAGTGTTTGGAGTGGAGGAATGTAGTTTGGCTGTAGGTACGTTAATTGGTTGTGAGAATATTTTGTCAGCCTCAAGGATGAATAGTGCCGTTGTTATATTTGTTAAGACGATTGAATTGGCGAATCAACTGGTGGAAACAGGTGTAGAAATTAATGGAATTTTTACTCAGGTGCTTCCCCTTTCAGCCCCGTCGAAACATGTAACGTTATCGAATGTGCCTCCATTTATAACAAATGAGGTTTTGGCGGAAATGCTGTCGCGTTATGGCAAATTAGTTTCGACAATAAAAATGATTGCAATTGGGAGTAAATCTTCCCTGCTGAAACATGTGGTGTCCTTCCGACGCTATGTCTATATG